TCTGGCCTCCTCCCTCCCCACTTGGAGGACTGAGGTAAAGCAGTAGGGAAGAAACAAGGCAAGATAAATTCAGAAGGGACAAAACTCATCGAGGTGAAGCGAGATAAATTCCGTAATGCATTTGGTGAGCCATCAAATCCTCTGTCTTATCCCAGGGGAATGCCAGATACACAAACAAATCATCAAGACCTGTAAACTCCATCATCAGCATCTTCCTCTGGAAAACATCATCACACTGATCTGTTTGTCCTAGGAGCCAAATAATTAAAGTTTAAAAACTAAATTATACTCGTTGCTGCAACAGCATAAACACAACGATGGCTCTCCTGTTACACCTGTAACCTCTGTTATAACAGCTTTAATGAGCTTTCAGCCTCATCATCCAAAAAGAAAAGATTATCACACAACGCTTTATGCCAAGAAGGTGTCTTTGCGCTGCTGGTGACCAAGCACCTGCAATGTGGCCGCTCCAAGGAGCTGCACTAGAGCTGCAGGCTGGACACCCACAGCGGGTGCCTTCGCCAGAGCTGGGGGGGCAGACCCAGGCAGAGGAGCTCCCAAAATGGGGCAGGGGGTGCAACCCTCTGGGACAGGACAGCACAGCAGTGTGAGCCCTGTCTGTAGCGTGCAGGCTGCTAGAAACCCGTGTGGAGAATGGGTACCTGTCCCCATTACATAGCATTATCCTATGGTATGGAGTTATTCCGAGCTTGCGTCTTCTCAGCTTAATTTAATAACAGGCTGTGAGCTCGACTTTGATCTGCTCATGTTTTGCACCATTTCCATATTTAACCCAACTCATAATCATAAAGGCCAGGACTGTTTCACTTTCTGTGCCAGCCTGCGTTTCCTGTTGGATGTGCAAAGGATGCACTTGCACGGTGGGATCCTGTTATCAACAGGGCCAAAGGGAGCACAGGAATCTGGAGTTGGTGGATTCCTTTCCCCAAACATGTGGCCAGACCTGAAAATCCAGCTGCCTGGCTTTTTTGGTTTACTGGTTTCCATATCTGCTCTGTGTGTCCTGGGAATGTGCGGCAAGATTCCTGCTTCTTTCCAGGAGGCCTTTTGGTGGAACTGGAGCTGGTTTGCCCCTTCCCAGATCTGCAGACTGGAATCTGCTTTGCCTCAGGGCTTGCTGTGTTTACTAAGCATTATCCTGTGTCTGTATCTCAGGGGTTGCCTTCAGGGCTTTCCCAGGCAAGAGACTTGCTGGCCATGGGCTCTCCCACCAGTTTGGTGCATCTGGCTGCAGCCCCACAAAAGCCACTGTTCCCCCAGATGCAGCAGAAACAACTGTATGTGTGTTTGTGGTTCCCTCTTCACACAGCAACCTCTAATTTGGGATCCCAGGTGGTGCAGGTAGCAGAAACTGTCCCTGCTGGGGCTGGGCTTCTGCCTAGGGTTAATCACCTTGCAGAGCCAGGACCCAAGGGCTCACGAGCCCGGTTTGCAGGTGATGTGGGCTTTATTCCCGCTCGCAAAACGCAGCCTGGAAGCTGTACTGATCATTTGTGTGAAGCTTCTTGTCAGATGCTTTCAAGAAAGACAAAGAATCTTAAATGCTTTGATTTTCATGCTTAAGAACATGACACTTGCGCTGACAGTACCTGCTGGCAACAACCTGTCAGATGGCAACAGGAAAAAACACAAAAAACCCCAGAAGGATGCTTTGCCAAAACAGGCTTGACAAACTTTAAAAACATGCTGGAGGAGGTGAAGGTAATTTGGGTGAGCACGCAGGTGATGTCATTCTGTCCCTTGGCAGGGATCTGCTCCCAGCGCTGTGATGTAGCTATGGCAGCGCACTGTACCCGTGGGATACCGACATAATTATGTGTCTTCTAAAAATCTTAAAAACCTGTCCCTTTGCTCATAATTAAAGAATTCATGTGTTTGTTTATTTTGTGCCGGCCTGTTCGGTTCTGCAGTGAACTCACCCACAGAGACACATGAGCTCCCAACATCTGTGTCCTCTGCCCGTGTTTGCATCCAGGCTTCCCTAGGGCTTCAGATGTTCCTCATCCCTGAGTTCTGCCCATTGAATTTCTTCCTCTCTGGGTTCTCAGTCCTGAAAATGATTCATCAGTGAGAGGAGCAAACAGGATCATATAAGGTCTGGACCACAAGGGTCATTCCTGGCACCATCCTGCCAGGGCCCTGCAGCACCAGACTTTGCTGCAGCTCAGCATCCCTGCACCTTGCCCCGTTGCGCAGTGCCATCTCCTGGAAAGCCGCATTACAAGCAGAGGTTTGCTCCTGAAGCAGCGAGTGGTGCTGCAGGCAGCTTGGCTGCTGCCTCCAATTGCTGAAAAGTTAATCTTCTGACCCACCAACAGTCCCTCATCGAACTTCTCTTCCTCCAGCAGGTACGAATGATGCCTCACGCCGCCCAGCTGCTCACCCTCACCTCCGATGTGTCCTGCAGCAAAACTTCCCTGCGTGGCTCTTTCCCGCTCTGGATGCTGAGGATGCTGAATACAAATCTTGAGGTACAGGAGCACAGATGAACATCTATAGATGTTACTCCCCAGCTTTTGTTCTGCTTGGGCACCAGTTCCCTGTGAATTCCTTGCATATACATTCACTCTATAAGTGACCTGTTTACCTGTTTCTCTTGGTTTTGAATTTATGGGACATTTCTTCCTCTCCAAGTTTGATGACTTTGTCATAAGTAACCAAGCCTCTCAACACAGTGCTCACCCTGTATTTAAAATATTGCTACATCTTTTTAATGAGACAAAAATGTGGATGAGGAACTTGGACCTGAATGCAGCTGGCTTGACTAAGCTCTGTATTTATCCTGAAAAGACAAGGAAAATGGGTGGTTCCAAGGGCCACACGTTTACTCCTCTGAAACAGTAACACAGCTTAAGTGCTTAGTCACTGAAAAAATGCACACTACAATTTAAAGCCAAAGGCTGGTACTTCATCTATCATTTTAGGCTATTGTGGCATCTTCTGAGCAGTTGGGAAATTAATATGCTTTGGTAATCTGTCATACACGATGAAATAACTGGTGCTCCAAGGTAAGGCTGTAAAAGCTGTTATTTGGAAGAAAAAAATCCAAACCAACAAAAACCCGGCCATAATGATGTAAATACAAGGCCACAAATTTCATCAACAGAAGAAACAGCTACTGTAACACATGGCTGTTCACAGCTTTCCTTGGCCCTTTCTCAGCGAGGGTTCTGTGTTGCAAACTCGTCCTGAACACATTTTTGCTCAGGAGCATGCTGATGAACTGAAACAGCCTGTTTACCAAAAAAAGGATTTTTTTATTAAAACGCGTATTTGTAAAGGAGAGATCATTACAGAAATGAGGTAAACCAACACATATGACATCGTTTTCACTTTAAAAATAAATTTCAATAGAGCAATTGATTTGATTCCACAAAGTCTGAGAGGAAGAGTCAGGCGAGCGTTACTCATGGGTCGAGATGCTGGATGAGGTGGGAAGACGCAGCTGATGCCGCCCTGACTCAGCACAGAGAGGTCAGTGCCAAAGTGCCAGGAGTCTTCCTGGGACTGAACCCTTCCCACTGCACTGTGCTCTTCTCCCCCGTCAGACTTGCAGACAAAAGGAGGTGAATAAAGGCCAGAGACAGGCAGCAGTAGCCTCTCCACCTCTGGCCCTAACCAGGGGTCCCCCACCAGCATGTCCCCATAAAAGGCTGTGCAAAGGTGTAATCTGATTGTGCAAATTCACTCCCTCATCAGTCACTGCTCGCATCTTGGCCCTAAAGGAGACTTAACAGCAAGCAAATACCAGCTCTGAAAAAGTTCTGTTTCAAAATAACATCTGGCAAGCAAGAAGCCCATTAAATGTGACACACCTTGCAAGGTACAGGGAGAAGAGTTATGTTTCCTTCTTTTTCTTTTAAGTTTTCTTCCATGCACGTACAAGTGGGGCTTTTCATCTAAAAGTTTATGAAGTCACTGCAGGTCTGTGAGAATCATGTTCACCATGCTGTGAAATCAAGCTTTCTCACTGAGGACCAAGTCCCACAGCCTGAACACCTCAAAGAATAGAAAAGAGGCTGCAGATGTTTTACCCTGTATAACAGTAAGAAAATAGTGAGGTGAACCTCAGACCCGTTTCTCAGGATGCCACGTGAAGCCAGCTAGCAGGCTAAGGAGGAATGGCTGTACTCGCTCCCAGCTCCTGCCAAGTACAGAACAAACATCACAGCCATCACCAGAATGAAATAATGCTCCAAAAATCACTCAAATAAATGGCTTACAAACTCCTGAATGCTGGGAATTACTGCACGGCTGAAGCTCTGTAGTCCAGGTCCACTCTGATGATGAAGGTATTATGGAGGTGACAAACTACGCAGAGGAGACAGAGATGGAGTTTCACCCAATACAGCCACCTGAGTGAAACTCATCCAGGCCCTTGTGTAGTAACTATGCTGAGATGGGTGAGATGTTGCTCCAATACACATCCCAGGACAGCATCTGGTAACCAAGGCCCGACATTTTCATCACATCGGCCAAGTTTATAGTGAAATTTCATGACTGCACGCAGATAAAACATGAGGTAAATGCACTATTTTAATCTCATTTATATCCTCGGGGGATGTGGGTGGGATTTAAACTGCATGTAGGCTTGGTGCTGGTCTGCACGGGCTGGTTGTCATGCTCCAAGAGCGGTATCCATAACTCTCAGTGCACAGAGAAGGTTGTGTCACAGCCAGTACCATGTTTCCAGTAAATGCTTTTAGCAAGAGACAGAAATGCATTCGCTACTGTGCACTGCAGCTTACGATAACTGTACCTTGGCAGCAGCTGCAGCACTGTGATATCGCAACAAGACTCTCCACGTTAGAAGTCAGTTAAAGGCTACAGATCTTGAGAGAGAGATGTGTCATACTTAAGAGAGTTTCTTCCAGACAGAAATAAAAAAATAACTGTCTTTTTTTTAATAAATCTATTGTTTGAGGAACTAAAGCAACCAATGTTAAGTTCCTGGCTTATTATACATCCTGCTATGGCTCTGTATGACGAGTCTGAAAAGGCAGATTAGCATACGATTAGAAGAGAAAGCTGTTTAGGCTCAGCAAGACTCCAAGGCGACCCATTTCACACTGACAAGAGCTAGCATCCCTCGCTGCCTGTGTCCACTGGCAGCATGGGCGGGTTTTTTCCAAGAAAGACATTCCCATCGCTGTTTCTTTCACTGGATCATGCCATCTTGCTGCCCCGTCTGACTGGGGTCAGTGGTGACCGATGGACTGGGCGTATTGCTCTGCAAAAATCGACGGAAGTCCTTAATCATGGGGCGGAGGACCTGTATGAGGGCACTCAGTGCCGCCTGTGTTCCTTCCATGGCCTGTGCCTGTCGCTCCTGGGCGCACGCCTGTACCTCCTGAGAGCGACGTATCATCTGCAGCAAATCATTCTGCTGCTCCAGGTGCTGGGCAATCTCCTTCACGTGCAAGTTGGTCACTCGCTGCTCCTGCAAAAGCTTGGCTGAGTTCAGGGCAATTCGGCTTTTCAGCTCCTGGGGTTTTGCAGACACTTCGTGTTGATGCGCCATCATCTCCAAGGGTGCTTCGGTGGTGACTGTGGTGGGGGCTTCTGTTGTGCAGTACTCCACGACTCCATCCTCCAGACTGTGGTAGGTCGTCTCCGCAGGAACTGAGAACAAAGGACAGAAAGGGGGTAAGAAGTAGCTGCGATACGGGGATTTTTATCTACAGGACTATTCAATGACTATCACAGGAATACTGCCTGTTCAGTGAGATAACATACAATGAACAGCAATGCACAAAATGACCTATTTAAGTCTACTCCACCCTCATTCAAGCTTCCTTCTAGGCTGTACGGTCCAAAGGAATAGGGCATGCCTTATCTGTCTAGACAAAATAATTTCTCAGCCACCAGTTCAGAACAACCTTTCCAAGTGGCATTAACCAACTGACATAAGGACAAAGACAAGAGCCAGAATGGCACTTGTCAGAAGGGCAGCTGCTCTTTGGGGCAGACTGGGAAATCAGCCTTGGAGATGTTTCTCCCCCTGCTTTTGTCCCCAGAGAGGGGGGCAAAAGAATCTACAAGGTGCAAAGGATACTGGCTTCCCTTGTTCTTAAGGCTGAGCTCAGCTATCAAAGTTGAATTTCAGTACATGCGTATCTTGCAGCCACTCCCCTGCAGCACGAGGACATACTGGGAATGACATTTTCATTAGAGACATGGGAGTTTCTTTTTGCTGGGGCTTTCCTTGTACAGGGCTCAGGGCCTCCTCACAGCTGGGTGTCAGGGCCTCCCATATGACCCTCCAATTCAGCACGGAGCATCGTCAGCAGGCACAGCACTCACTCTGTGTCAGGGTGACCGTGGTGGCTGACGCGGTGATGGGTATCTCGGTCCCGTCACCTGCGCTGCAGTCCCCAGTCGGCAAACTGATGATGGTGGCTTCTCCCAGCAGGTTGCAGATACGTTGCTGCATGGGGGTGAGGATAACTGGGGCAGCTGCAGTGCCTGTTGGGTCTTCGTTCTCTGGCCCATTGCCGTTGCCATTCTGGCTCTCGCCTCCACCTTCCATGGCAGCCCGGACTTGGGCCACTTTGCGTCGCACCTCAGTCTTGAGGTCGGACCATTTCTTCTTGACCTCGGGCAGCTCACGGTGGCAGGTGGCAACGGCATTGACGCGGCGTAGGATGTCGTGCCAGGCAGCGGCCTTGGCGGCCAGGGGCACGCCTGCGTTGAAGTGGTTGATGAGGAGGTGCTTGCCTCGCTCCAGCTCCTCCACGATGATCTCCACCTCCCGCT